CCCAAATGTGGGATTATGTTGCACACATCCTTTGGTGAAGAACATATGCATATAAATTAAAAGACACCTTAAGAGATTGTACTTTAAATATAATTACATAATATAAAGCATATGGCTTTCAGTCTACTAGTTAAGCTACTGTATGCTCATACAGGCAGTTCAAATCTGATTTGAGCTGACCATGTAATCCAATCGTCCCAGATCAGATTTAAACCACATTTGTAGGTGGTTTGACAGCGCAACTCAGTACAGTCGCTCAGTCTGGATTTGTTTCAGTCTTGTCAGTCACCGTGCAACAAGGGGGACATCTCAGTACAACAACAAGTACAGGAACCAACGAATGGGAAGAGAGATATTCAGATATTTCCAGTGTTTCATGAGACACCTTTTTTTTAAAATTGCAACACAAAATAGTTACAGCACAGAGAACATAACATGAAAGACAAGATAGCATAGACATTTACAAAGGAGCCATAGGTGTGTTTGTGTGTATGAGGCTTTGTCATATGTTCAACTCTATGCATGAGGCACATTCTGCACACTTGGTTACTATGACTAACAATAGCAAATTATTATAGTTTCTTAACATAAATATGATCTGATTCATTGTAAATTACAATGTAGTAGTTATCAATCAAGACCATATTTCACATGGACTTTATGAACACATATCAGAATCAGAATCTGCTGATTCTGATTCTGATGCTGAATCTGCTGATCATATGAGCTTGCCTTATCAGCTGCAGCGCCAGCATCCAGCCCCCAAGCCTCCAGCCAGTCTCTTCACAGTCAGAAAAGTGCCTCACTCCCACCCCCACCCCCTGTACACAACTCCTTACATGTGGAGGAGAAGAGAGGAGGAGAGGTGGAGAAATGGAGAGGTGGTGCTCAGCGGGAGGCGTTTAGGGGTGAGGTTGCCTGTCAGAGGCGATAGAGTGACGACCTTAACCCTCTGTGTCTCTCTCTGTTTCTCTTTCTCCTGCCTCCTTTCCCTCCCCCATGTAGGGTATCCCAGCCCTTGCTTGACCGCTGTGTGCCAGACTATACCACTTTCACCACTGTGGGGGACTGGCTGGATGCCATCAAGATGAGCCGTTACCGTGACAACTTCATCAATGCCGGATTCGCTTCCTTTGACCTGGTGGCCCAGATGACAGCAGAGTGAGTGGAGAGGCAGTGGATTCAGCTTATCAGGCCTCAAGTGATGGACTAGGCTGAGTTTCAATGACAAATTAGCGTTATACATGTTGACCTTGAGGGAGAGAAAATAGTCTCATGGCTAAATTAAACATGAAGTGTGTAAAAGTGGGCTATGCTCAGACATCAAATAACATGTAACAGGTTTGATGTAAAAAAAAGTATATTTTACTCTACTGGCACATTTAGCAGACATTTCAGAAATACATTTGTTCTATGAAAATAAATTGTGCCTTGAAGGTGATATTTTACTATTATGTGTTTCAATATTATTATCATGTAGAAAGAATAATGGTTTTAAAAACAAACATGCAGGATTTTCTGGCAACACCACTTGGCAAGAGAAAAATTATGTAGAAATAGGAAATAAGAAAACACAAAATTTATGCTTTTCCTTTGACTTGGTATGTAATTGTTTCTATTTCTATTTATTTATTCTTTCAAACATGTAACAACAGTCAGTATGTAACCACACATAATTCCAGACATATCCACAAACATATTTTCAATTTGCTTATACCTAGTACATGCTTGAACAGAGTAGGAAGAAGTTAGACTTCGGTTCATTCAGGATAAGCTCACAATAGAATTTGGGGGGCGGGGGGTGGACTAGCAGCAGTCACTGACTTCAGAAGCAAACAAATAGGATATACTGTAGTGCAATTTTTCAGAAAGATCTTAACTACAATCTCCAGTTGACCTTGATAACTGACCTACCTTTGACTGTGTTTACAGACAGGAAATGATGTAATAGAAGTCATGGAAATTGGAGGCCAGTGATGATCAAATAAACGAATTAAGATTATAATGATAAATAAATCATCCTCATTAGCTGCATAATAGGCAATGGAAGTGGGGGTAATTTGTTTCAATTTGGCCAGGCTGACAGGTGTGGAGTACTGTGGCTCTCTGTTGCCCTAATAGCCAGTAATTCCTCTAATAGTGCCCATTTATTATCATTTCATTCTCCATTGCTGTGCTGATGGGGATGGTGAAATATAAAAAAAACACTTTTTTGTGAAATTGTGGTGGTACACCTTTATTTGGCTTTGGAAGGGATGGTTGAGCAGCATGGGAGAGTTTGTGTGCATATTCACATACTGTGTGTGTGTGTGTGTGTGTGTGTATGTTTGTTCATGTGTGGATTTAGGTGCGCACTTCTACATTCAAAGTGATAGCGCCACAAAGTCATTGAGACAAGCAGAATGTATGCTATCTGTGTGTAATATTAGATTGTAAGAAGGACGTAGACGATTCCAGAGTCCCAACAGTCAGCTAATCACTGCTCTCTCCTCAGATGTCAGCTGGGGAAATCAAACAAGCAAGTGGAAAAGAAAAGTTCTCATGATATTATTGTACGCTGTTAAACCAACATGGCTATGATGATTACATTTTAGATTATGCTGTCTGAGTAATGACGCCCAAAGCAGGTGGCCATTTTAATGGTCTTGTTAAGTCAACTATATGTCAACATCTTCACATTTTCTCACTGCACCTTCAATTTGAGATTTAGGCCCTCTACTTACTCTAAGATCACACTGCTAGTAGCCTGTGTGAGCATTGATTAAAATAATTTACAGTCTTATTTGCTGTAGTTTTTAGGTACGGAAGAATGAGAACTGTGGCCAACTTAAAGATACATTAACAAATGTGGCTTTCTTCCTGTTAGATACGCAAGTACTGTAGCTGGCTAACATGTATATCATCATTAACAAGCTAACGTGAGCATTTCAGTTTTGTACCTTTGTACTTTGCCCATAACAGTCAAAAATTACAGGGAGGAGTTAGTTAATGCGGCTTTAAAACTGGTCTACGGACACACAGACCCATTATAAGTATGAATGACAGGATACTAAGCAAGTCTATCTGTCTAATATCTTACAAAAACCTCTTGTGCTTCCCTGTATTATAGCTAAGTGGCAGGATGATGTGGACTCTGTGAAGTCTGCAAGCTACTGAACAGTAGCTAAGTTTGCTCTTTAATCATTAACTATCACATTATGTCTCTTTGACTCCCATCCGCTTGCCCACCTGCCAGGGAACAGAGGTATGCTGCATTAAGACTATCATTTGCTATAGCTGGATGGGTTTTGTTGACATACCCTTTGCAAGCCATTATATGGGTGATTGCCAAGGTGCTTGCCTTCCCTGTTCCCACCTGGTGGAGTGTGTGTTTACTTGTGGGCGAAAAGTAAAATTTGCACTATCGCTTCAGATATGTGGTGTTTGTCTGCTTTTGTGCCTCATGACTCGTGATGTTTGTCTGCTTTTGTGCCTCATGACTGAACCACCTGTTCTTATTTTTCCTCCTTTGTTTTCACTCTACAGGGACTTGCTGCGGATAGGGGTGACATTGGCTGGCCATCAAAAGAAGATTCTTGGTAGCATTCAGGACATGAGACTACAGATGAACCAAACGCTTCCTGTCCAGGTGTGAGTGACAGGACACACAGACCCATGCAGTCAAAGGACAGCCAAACAGGAAAAGGGGGAAAAACTGTGCCAGAGGGAGCCACTGGAAAACCCTAGCTGCCTGACCCATCTCTGACAATTAGATGCTGTGGAACTGGCTTGCAGTGCCTCTGATTTATTTTTTTTCTTTATTTCATCACCACTTCTATTTCCTGCTCCTGCTTTTCTGTTACTTGTCATTGTTGCTTTTTCCATCCAATCAGAATTTGTGTGTTTTTGGAAGAGGAGAAAGAACTAACCTCCTTATACCCCGTGCGTGCCTCACCAGCTCTGGTGTGAGCTGTGGTTTGCATGCATATGTGTTTTAGTGATATTGACCTTAGCTCTGTAACTGAAATATCACATTTTGTTCCTGATGCAAGAACCCCTTCCATTGACCCCTCAGCCCAGCTCTAATGGATATAATACATAGTAAAGAATGGACACCCTCATATGGAAAAAAGTGAACCAGTGTTCACACATATAAGAAACAAAATACAGTGGTGTTTCAGGTACATAAGATAGAGGACAATTCTTTCCCTGATAGAGGTTGTTTTAACATGTATGTGTTGTTCTCCATCTTCATATTGAAGGTGTTATCTAAAGGGCACTTGCTGGAGAAAGAAATGTAACAGGTTGAGGTCAAAGGTGAGGAGGATGGCAGGAAGTGGACAAAGGAGAGCAGTTACATTTTTGGACACTTGTTGTGGCAGTTGAATCCACACTAGGTCAGCGGATGACCTCTTCATTTGACCTGAAGTGACTCAGGATAGTTTTGCAGCTTGGAGTCACCTGCTCATCAAATGTGTTTTTACACAAAAAATTGCTTTGTTTTTGTTTGTCCACATTACATGTTTTTTAAAGTTCTTCTCTTTTTTTGGCTTTCATACACATTTCTATGAGATTTTTGGTTTCAAAATGGCCTGGTCAATGCTAAGTACCCCCACTGGACACTTTATGCGATAAAGGGGAAACAAGGACTGTGACAACACTACAGAAAGACCACTTGGCCTTTTGTGTGTGCGTGTACATGGGTGACAGTGTACGTGTGTTTAAGCGTGCCTGGTTGCGTGGATGTATCAAGTTGCACACAAGTATACTGTACAATACAGCTTCCGCTATTTGCCACCATGGAGAATTAACGCATGAACTGAATCATGACAAGGAGCAAATATATCTGAAACAATTATGCTATATTCTGTGGACAGCTGTTAAACCTTTTTTATTGAATCCAAAAAATGAACTTTGGACATAAACACACACACACACACACACACACACATACACACATATATATATAAAATTATATATATATATATATATGCATCACGCAGAAACTGAGAGAAACCATGATGGACACTTTACTTTCTACTTACTATTATCTGGAGTTAGAATTAATCAAAAATCTTGTTTTAATTTCTTGACATCCTGCCCTGTGTATTTATTTGTACCTCGCCCCCCCAACACTCACTCCCCACCAGTACCCAGATGGACTATAGGCCATGTAGGGCAGTGGACTTGGAACAATCAGAAGGAAGAGAAACTCCAAGAGGATTCACCCAATGAATTTATGATGATTAAACAAACAAAAAAAAAAGCATATAAATTGGATATTGTATTTTTGTTGTTGTTCTAAACAGCCTGTAAATGTTTTGTAACAAAAATATGCTAAATAACAAAAGAAAAATTGTGTTTTGACAAAATGGAAGTGTTGTTGTGAAATGCTTGATTCAGAGTGAGATTAACCAAATCAGAGAGGAAGAGAGTGAAGAGGGGAACGTCAGAAGGGAGACATGTGGGTAGACAGCTGCTAATAACATGCCACCCTTTTACTCTTTGTCCATTGTAGTCAGTGTAAGTGTGTTCCAGTTTGTGTGTACCACCTGAACTGGATACTGAGCTTCGCAGATACATTCTCATTCTCAGCATTTGTGAAGCACCGAGCTGTTGCTAATTATTTTCCAGGAACATTCTTTTTCAATTCAAAACCTCCTGCAAACCGTTCAAATGCAACTCTATAATTTACTTATGTTTTATTTGACTTATTTGCCATCACCTCCACCAGTGGGATTCACCCAGCCCTTCTTATGCAGGACTCTTAAGGAGCCATTAGAGAGACGATCCAGAGATGATTCAGCCGACCTGCCAATCATTTCAATCGCCCCAGAAGCGGAGCCCCATCACTGGACCTACAGTTTGCCCTCTCTCAGCATCAGGATCCTCATCAGAGAGCCCAGAGCTGTCACTAAAAAACCTATTAGTCTTTATCTGTCAGGTTGATTAATACAATGGCCAATCTGGCAGTGCAAGGATATGGACACGCAGTGAGGACAGACATATGGTGAGCTGACCTACCATTATCTCTCTTCATTTCCTGTCTGGCCTGCAATCATCCTGTCTCAGCTCAGGCTGCTGCATTATTAGTACAGTGCCGGATCAACAGCCCTGGAATGTAGACAGTCAAAATCTGCAGGCCCCCTCATTCTAAATGATAGCAGCTGTGTCAAGGAGACCATACAATTTGCACTTCCCACAAAAGGGTGTTTGAAGGTAGTGGATTAAGGGACGGGGCAGCATCAGTGGTGTGATCTTCCAGACAGTCTCCATTGTTTGGGTTGGAGCTGATCAACGCAATATGTGAATATTATTAGTTAAGTGTGTAATTATAGCATGATGTTAGTGGACATGCGGTGTGTCTTGCCATATTAGTTTTGTCAGCTTCCCTTCGAATCTCTTCAAAAGCCATGGAGAATATTATGCAAGACAATGTGTTTCTTATTTTATATTGTTTCATCTTATTCCACACCAGTGCTAGTACACACTGTAAAGGGCTTACTAACCTGAAACAGTTGTGGTGCATAGTCAAGTTGTAATTTAGCAGTTGCTTAAACTACACAGGAAATAAGTCTCAAATTTTTTGAATGACTCCCATTAAAGTGTCAGGCCTGATTTGTGATGTGATGGATCAGAAGTGCTGGTTTCAACAAGATTTGCTAATATAATGAGAACGTGTTGAAAGTACCTGTTAGATGAGCAAACCTTTTTTTATATCATTCTGCAGAATTGTTTTGTTTCTCCAAAGTAAAATAGCATTTTGATTGAAAATTGAAGCGATGGAATGGAAGAATTAATGCAAACAAAAGCCCACTTTGCTCTACATTTCCTGGTAAAATGTTACCCCCTCTTCCTCCACTCGGTTCAGTCTGTCAATCAGCTGCAAACTTGCACGTGGCACCAAACATGACACAGTTGATGAGCATAAAAATAGATTAAGTGGGACATATCAGGACTAAACACAATCAGATGGCAGACATGCCCACTCATAAAAATTGGCAGCACTTTGGAGGTTGCACGAACTATTGATGTGCTGAGGTCTGAAGTTATGTCCACCAAAGTCACCCAGGTGTGAGTGATGAGCTCAACTGGCACTCTTGCACATCTTAAAGTGATTAACCTACCACCACATCAACTGCAACAATTAATCTTTAAGTGAGTTTTCACACATTTGTGGCAGGGTTTAATATTTAGCATTCACAGAGAGGAAAAGGACTTGCTCTCATGTGTTTTTTGTTCACTCCCCTGACTGCAGACTGTTGAAATTATAATGGACTGTTTGTCTGTGTGTGGAATAAAAGGATTGTTATTGTATACAGAAACATTTTGATCAGCAGACTCTAGGCTTTGTCGGATGTGATTACCTCTTTGTGTGCCAAGTAGCCCGGCCTTCCTCCCCACTTTCTTTCCTTTTTTTTTCATTCCTCCCCACTTTCTTTCCTTATTGTATATCCTCCAGAGATCATCACCTCACATCCTCCCTGAAACCCCATCACTTAGAACTTTCTTTTTTCTTCAGTTGTCTATTTCAAATAAATATATACAGTTTTGTCCTTTTGTCTGACAGGCTCAGTGCTCTTGGTATTTTCTTTTAACCCCACTTTTTATACAAGGAAGCGAAATGTTTCACAGAATACTATATATGTATAGTGACCTGAAAGGGGGGCAGAATGAGGCACTGAGAAATGCAATTGTTAATTCCTCTCTGACAAGCATTGAGATGTATTTAATGGAGCAGACATACACAACAAATTACAAGAAAACGATGATGCATTCTTGTAGAAATATTTTTAAAAGACCCTTTTGCAATTAAATTATTTAAGAAATGTGACCTGATCTCCTGACTCTTTGTGTTGAGTTTAGTTTATCCCAGTGGACTTGAAGTAAATTGTTCTTCCATGAGGTTCTATGCCAACTCATAAACACACAGTCTCCAGGCAAGTAATTGCATGAGACAAACACATTCAATTTCACTGTTTGTCACAGTTATGACCATCTCTCACTCTGATAATCATTACCACAGCTTCATGTAGTTTTTTTTAGCAGTTATAGCAATAATATTTCTAGTTGATAAAGTGGCACCAAAGCCTATCTGCTTCAGATAAGTACACCGTACTCCCAGATGTACACTACTGTTGAACATTTCTCTTAATGTGCTCAGTGTGCTTGTAGGCAGGAATTGTTGAACGTTCATGAAAATCACTCTGATTAGATGTTTTTGTTTAAGGTTTAAGCTGCATTACGTGCTTTGCCTCGGAAGGCTGAGAACATTTAGTGTAACACTGTTTGTAAAAATGTATTGTTTTGTAATGCTGTCTTTTATCTTTATAGCCACTGGCACCTGGTGAAATATTGAAACTTTGGAGAAGCTACCCATAGTTAATCTATTTCTAACGTTCCTTTAGTTGCTACGTTCCTCACCAGAATTGAAGCTGCTACTATGAGTTAAAGCCCACTATTCTAAAGCAGTTTGCCAAATATAGCTGTGAAAAATCTGATTTAAATTACACATCTGTCTAGAGAAATACCAAAAAATGCAGCAGCAGCATGATTCCAAATCAGATTTAATTTCTCAAAAGCTACCATTACAACAAGGTTGATTTGCTCTCAGACTTGCAAGTTTGCACGATTAGTCACAGTTAAATTAAAAATTGCAATCCACAGTGGAGTTATATCAATAACTTGCAACACTAAAGCTCCCCATATTGTCTCTCATGCCCACTAATTAATATGAGCTCCACTCATATCTGCAGGCACTGGAGCCAAAAATCCTGTTTTCCAGGGGAAAAAAATATGCTCAGATCCTAGATTCTACCTCATCTGCCCTTTGCCTTGTCCCCTGGCTCCTTTCCTCTCACTTTCTTTGTCCAATTAAATAGAGAGTCTTGGATTGGGAGGTCTCTGTGTCTGGGTAGAGCAGATATTTTCGAATCACACCCCCTAGATACATTCACTGAAGTTTCAGTAGAAGATTATGTGGGTTCTTTTTTGTATTGCAGCAGGCAGAATAAATTATATCTCCACAGTTTTTACAGCTTCTCTTTCTGCATAGTTGTTAGATGATGGACTCAGAATACATTTTAAAGGCCCAGCAATATTTCATTGACACATAATCTGCCTTTTCTTACATCTTGTCATTTGGTATCATAATCATCTTCTATTTTTCTATTGTGGCACCCATTTGGCAGAGATGATTTAAAATCCCCTTGTGATGATAATAAAAAAACATGACTATATGTACTTCGAGACAGACTGGGGACCATATCATAGGTGATGAGTTATTTTGACTTGCCCAGATAGTGGGTGTTCCTTCAGTGCTCAATAATCTCAGTCAGTTTGAAGTAAACATGGACCAATGCCAAGATGAACTAGAGCACTGTATTCTTTCCTACGGCTATTGACTTAGTGTCACATTACTCCAAGCTGGAGAATATTGATTGTATGCAGGCCTGTTTCATCAAAACACGTCATATAATGCAAGGGAGAATTATTGAGATGTCAATAAAGATTAATTTCTTCTCCCTTCTCAGTCAGTGAAGCAGCATTAGCATAAATTTCACTGCGCATTAGCATGTTTTAGCCATACGTCGGTCAAGAGAAGGATCAATACAAAACATGATCATACATCCATAAAGAAAAATAAAATAAAATAAATCCGCTCCTTTACATCCCCCTTACCTGTTTTTTCCCCTCATTTCCAAAGCCAGATTCTATCCCCCTTTATTATCTTATTACTCACAGACTATCCCTCACTCACTCCTCCTTATTAGCCCCCTCTAACACCCTTTCTTTCTACTTTTTCATTCTATCCCATCTCTTTTGCCATAATCCCTCTATTTCATTATAGCTTGGCACAGTTAATTGGTCATGTCTGTACTGCGACATGGGGACCTGACATAATTGCTGGACAAATAATGAGGCATTTATTTTCAGTATGGGCTCAGTGCAGGGTCACACATATGAGCTTCTCAAACATTTTGAATAGCCTGTGTGTAGGAAAAGCTTTGTAACTGTAAAAACATTTTATATGTGTGTAAAAAAAAGGTTTGCACCTCTAAAAACGGTTTTGAATGTGTGCATAAAATCTGGAAACAAAGTATGTTACACAAACACAAAATAATTGAACGTTTTTGTGGACATTGTACAGATAGGGAGCAAATAGGCCTCTAGTTCAAAGTTCAAAGTGTTTATTTGTCATATGCACAGTTAGGAAACGTGTTTCCCTGTACAATGAAATTCTTACTTTGCAATTCACATGAATGCCACAAAATACAAATGAAATATAAAGTAGATAAATAAGTAACACAAAATCTAAGGCACTTTAAGCGGCAAATGCAGCAATATGATAAAAAATATATAAGAATATAACAAAGAATGTATGCTGCATGGGAGCAGCATGTGCAGCAGTCAACAGTCAATGTGCAATTATGCATGTGCAAACTGAGAATGTAAACAGTACAGGTCGACAGTACATGACATATTTCCTGGTAATAAACTCCTCAGCTGTTTAGCAGTGGAGTCCTGGTGATCTTCCGCCTCTGCCTTCTTTAAACTTCAGTCAGTGGATGCCCACAGCAGCAGATGCGTCATTAGCATGGTTACCGTCATTACTGTGCAGATGTATGTACAGTATATGGAAATATATTTGCATGAACACTTAAATGTACTATATGAACACATACTATGTGTGTGATACATAACAGGTTATTATTCATACATGTATAACCCCAAATCAGAAAAAGTTGGGACTTTGTGTAAAGTCAAAAATAAAACCTAAAATAGTGATTATAAATCATCTGTGTCCTGTGTTACATTGAAAACAGTCCAGCAGCACATTCTCTGATGTGATACCTCATCAGTTTTATTCTCTGTTCAAAGTAAACTCTTCAATCCTGATGCTGCAGCACAGTCCAGCCAAGTCAGGGCAGATGCATTTCAGGGCCAGTAATGAGGTAAAACAAAGAAATGAGGATTCCATGTGAAACAGGTGATGTCAGCAGGTGACCGCATCACTACTCGGTACAACAGTGCCATCCAGGAAAGGCCGAGCCCTTTAGGAGCAAAGATGGGCCGAGGACCACCAGTTTGACAACTTGGAATGATGTTGTCTTTGTGGGAGGCGACACAGTTGTGGGTGAACAGGGTGTAGAGTATGGGACTGAGGACACATCCCTGTGGGGTGCCAGTGTTTGTAACAATGCTGGCTGAAATCCTATTGCCAATCCTGACAATCTGGGGCCTGCCAGTCAGAAAGTCCAGGAGCCAGTCACATGGGGCGGGGTGCAGACCTAGTGTGGACAGTTTGTGGGTGAGTTTGTGGGGGACAACTTGTGGAATCTACTTGCAATAACCAACACATGTGCGATTGTAGAAAAACATTCAGTCACTAAGGTCTCGAAGCTGGAGAAGGGATATAAATACTTCTACAAAAAATAAATGGCTTATGAAGGTAAGGTTGTGGTTAATTGTAATACTACAAAAGTATGGCTAGCTTGTTAGCTAATTAGGTCAGGTGGGCTAGGTTACCTAGCGTTAACCAGAGTTGAGTGTTAATGTAAAACGTTAGCAAAACTGCTAGCAAGATGTTTGTCAAGCTGAAGGCAAGCTAGGCGTGTGACCCGCTGAGTGGTTCCATGTTTGGTTAGAGAAACTGGCCGTCCAATAGCCCTCACTTTTGCTTTGCTTGAGCATGTAGAGGTGATATTGGTGCGGTGGGTAGAGCAGTTGTCTCCCAATCAGAAGGTTGAAGGTTTGAATCTTGGTGCTTGCAGTCCACGTGCCGAAGTGTCCTTGGGCAAGACACTGAACCCCCCCGTTGCCCCCCGATGTTAGAGCCGTCGGTTGAGGTGGCGCCGTAGATGGCTGCCATTGGTTCTGTACCGGAAACAAATTCCTTGTGTGTAACATACTTGGCCAATAAAGGTGATTATCCCATTGTTATTATGCTCATTTTGACATTTCCTGCAACTTAGTAAGCTGTCCTTTGTTGGACTTGCAGTTGACTTGCGCTGTTTCATGTTACGTTAAGCTGTGTGTGAGTTGTTTAGGACCCAGTAAAAATGCAGATTCGAACCCAGGTAGAAAAGAAAACGTATTTAATGCTCCTAAAATAACAAACAAAACAGAGCCGGTCTCGTCCGCTGATCTTGGGGCAGCTGGGCACACTGGGTTGACTGGACTACTGTCTCCCGGGGTGAATGAGAGGCGTTGCTCGCTACATAAGAACAAAAAGAGAGTGTAAGAACAAGCAGCAGGTATAGTACAGATTGTTTCTGGTAGTCATTCTGGGGACCTGAACAGCTGAGTACGCCGCAGGCCCAGGGAGTAATCCAGGGAGAAGGAGACTGGTGCCAGAGATCTCGGGTTGGTGTGTGGGTCCCCTGATGAGGCAGCGCTGGTAGCTGAGCGG